CATACAAAAATACAAAAAAAATAATGCTGTTCGTTGCTAAGCACATTACTTGAGAACAGTTGAACAGATTTAGATATTTTTGGTTTATTTCGTTTTAAATCAGAATATACGCTTTTAGGAAAAAAAATTGAAAAACTGCCAAAAAATTTGAAGAAATCTGAAAAAATTTAAATTATATTCTGTAGAATTCTTGAATAACCAAAGACCAGAACTCAGGATTTTAACAATATTTTTTTTTAAATATAGATGATTCGACATGTCTATATTTCTATATATTTCTTGTGGAATTGTGAACACCCTATTGGAAATGTGTAACCAATATTACCTTGAAGAAAAAACAGTAGTATTTCTGAGGGATCATTAATTAATTCATTAATAATGATTATAGTCGTTGAGAATTGGACAATGAAGACTCAAAAATTTATTACATCAAAGGTTATAAGAGCTCAAAATGTATATTTGTTCTATTTTTGTAAATTTTTGATTCTCATCCTGAAATTACGATTATAAATAACTATGTCACATTAATTTTAACTTTTAGACATGAGACCAGACATTGTTTACTAAGGATTTAATTGAACACACATGTGGGTTGCAACTTAAATAATTACAAAATGCTGGTATAGAAAGCATGTATTTTTATATTTTTTAATTTTTATACATAACTATAAGTGGAGAGAAACTAATGTGTTGTACGTCAATAATGTTAATATGTTTTTCAAATAAAAAAAGCATTGCGTGGCAAAAAATTATGATAAAGCTTACTGGACGGGGGGAAGTTTTGGCAGATGACCCACCACCTGTCATCAACACACTGAAGGAAGCTATAGAACTACCACCAAGGCTAGAGACTTGACAACACCGTGAGGAGTGCGCTACAGCTCGAAGACTATGGCCAATGGTAGATAGCAAAAAGACAAAACAACTACTAGAGCATAAGAAGAACCTAGTACGGGTAATAGTAGGTGTCGGGAACATCGGGAACTTTGCAAAGAGCTGGAAGTGCTTTAACGCAAAGAAAGAATGAGATTAAGGTTTGGTATACAATAATACAGAGATATCGCAATTCGCAATAGGCCCAAAACCTCCAAGTGAGGGATCACACAGGATCCAAAACCCCAGCAATTAACTAGACGTTAACAGTTTTTTAGGTGATATGCCCATCACCGAAAATAGGTCATAAAACTCTTTAATTCTACTGTACATAAAGCACAACCTTTTATCCCAAAATTAATGCAGAATGAGAAAATACAGGTGTAAAAGGTAGCATACGTAGGTAAAAGAATTCGTTATTTATTTGGATTGATTGTATTTAATTTCCTCTATAAGTATAAATACATTTTTGATATTTTAGAGAAAGAACAAATCAGATAAGTCTATCATTCTAAAATTAAATTAGCACAGATTCCGGGTTTTAAAAATAAATAACCTAGCACTATACGTGGGTGAAACAATATCGGTCAAATTTGTAATGAAAAAAAAAACTAGAAATGATATGTTTTAGAAAATGTTTATAGACGATTTTATCTACAGGATATTAAACTACAAAATCATAATTCATTTAGTATTTTTTTGGTTTTCACTAAATTCGAAATTAATATTTTTATCCACGACTCGTCTATAATTTGATTATTATATATGAGTTTATGAAATAATAATAATATTCATTATTCACTAGTGAATAATGGTTTCATTATTCACCGCTTCCACGGATATCTCGATCCAAACTCCAAACAAAAGCTATTTGAGGTTTTCAATGTCACTTTGTGCATTCATCTATGGGGTGTTTCAAAAGTTGTTTTTCTTGTCACGAGATTTTTAAAATATTTTTTGCGCCTTAAACATTCTCTTATATTATATCTCGCCATGTAAATAAATTATTAAACACCATTACGAAGAAACAATGTTAAAATTCCCTCATTTTCTACTCTAAAATTCGATTTAAAAATTTGAAGTAAATGTCACTTTTTGCATTCTAAAATTCGATTTAAAAATTTGAAGTTTTCAATGTTATTTTTTGCATTCATTTATGGGGGGTTCAAAAGTTGTTTTTTTTTAAATAAAAACTTATTTTAATATTATCTAAATTTTTTTGATAGTCTTGGATAAAGTATAGTATTCTACTCGCATATAACGCACCATTATATGCTCGTTGAATAATACATTATTATCCACGACTCGTCTATTATTTGATTATTATACATGAGTTTATGAAATAATAATAATATTCATTACTCACTAGTGAATAATGGTTTCATTATTCACCGCTTCCACGGATATCTCGATCCAAACTCCAAACAAGAGCTGTCAAACATTACCATTAATGTAAATAAATAATATTTGTTTTAATTAGTTAAAGCTAAATTAGTTAGCTACCTATATAATAGTTAAAGATAATTTCAGTGTTTTGTTTCCATGTTACTCGTTATACTCGTTCAATATTTTTTTGACAATAAAAATAAACACTTATATTAATATTATCTAATTTTTTTTTTGATAGTCCTGGATAAAGTATAGTATTCTACTCGCATATAATGGCTGTTATTCACTTGATGACTTATGACACTCGCCTGCGGCTCGTGTCATAAACTTCATCCGCGTGAATAGTATATATAATACCTATAGTATTTTAACTATGTACCTCGCTATGTACTTAATCATTTTTTTCATATTATTTCTCAATAACTGGAAATTTACAGTTCCCAGAATTTAAAACACAATTTGCACAGTTTAAAGCCTCCAATTTTTGCTTAGAATTATATTTTTGTCTATGAGTAATATCACATGATAGATACTATACCATCCTGGTCACTTTATCTGTGTGGTCTGTATTTTAATGCGTGCGACAGAGATAAATATAAATTATGGATGACAGACAGAGAGACAAAATAAAAAGCGGCATACAGTGTTGCCGGTATTTACGTTTGTAGGAAAACGTGTGTAGAAAAAAAACTATTTTTAAAACTTCCAAATTACTAGTACCACTGAAATGAAGATAATATATCTAGGCTAAAAATAATTTATTACAGTTGCAGTAAAATGAGTAACTTATTGTGAAAAATAGAGTTCCAACCCTAGATGCAAAATTGTTCATAAATGCCGAGATAAACGCCTAAACTCCGTGCGGTTTAAAATTTTGATGTAAAATCCGGCAATACGGTATACCTACCGGATAGAACAAATGTATCATTCCAACTTTTATCTATTTTTATTACATTTGATTTTCCACTAAGCTGTCTACATTATTGTCTTACAAGTTAAAATCCAGACAACGCAGTTTCGATGGCCAGATCGGTATAATTGATGACAGTTCCAACAATTTTAAAGAAGATCTCTTAACTGTATTACGAATTTATTACTTATTACTCATTTACTCTATTAAGATCACTAGTCATTTGAATAATGATGCACAAATTGAGAGCATAAATTCGTTGACCATCTAAAATGTGTTTTCAAGAGTTTCAAGTTTTGATTATTTCAAAGAAATTGTAGTATCTGATATACTTTCTTTATTTCAATTATACCTACAACGTTTTATATTGATATTATTCTATTTATGTGATACATGCCCCGATGCACCAAAACTCCTACGACATTCTGAGCATCCAAACACACATAAAACGGCGTATTATTAGCCAATTTCGAGTTCAAACACCTTAACGCTAAACCAGGGTCAATTGTAACACAACATTTAATTTGTTTCAACCATGTCTCAACGTTTCTGAACGAATTTTGAAAAAAAAACAGTTCCTCCAAATGTATTTGTAGGTAATTGTTTTTTTTTTCAATTTTCCCTTGCAAATATGTAAAATAGTTAAAACGAAAAAAAGACAAACTTCTGAGCACCTTTTAAAAACGTGTGCACAAGAAGAAATTATAGTAGGTACCTACCTATTAGCAGACAAAAAAATTACAATCAATGCCAATAGGTAATTCCAATATTATTAATGTCTAAAAATGATAATTTTACGGTTACTCTATATTAATAAGAAGTAGTTACCTAGATATTGTAGATACGTGTAGGTATATGTAATTTAGAATCATTTAAAATTCCAATTCGTACGTACTAAACTTGGCCACATAACAAAGATAAAACTTTGTTATCTTGATTCAGATAAACGCAAAAAATTTAATAAACATGAAATATAGTGTACACGTGGAAGGGAAAAATACAGGAAGCAGTACACATATCTAAAAAAATCTAAATAACCATGACATAGTTAAAAAAAAACAAAAAGAGTATATCCACTGCGTCTTGCGAAAAACTGCTGGCCAAACGCCAATAGGGAAACAGGAATAAAACCTACGTGCCTATGCGTGTATTTATAACTTTTTGCAAATTCACCACGTGGAAATGTTTTATCAGGTTATAACGTTATGATTAAAATGGAAAAAATACAGTTATGAGCTACAATTTCACTTTTACATTATTAATTATATTCGTTATAAATGGCAATAGTCCCGTTTCTAGATTTGTCTAAAGAAACCGACAATATGTTTATAAAAGATTAATTTAAAAAAATTACCAGGACTGAAACCGATACCCAATGAAGTTCCGGTTAATCCAAGAAACAGGAAGAGCCTTGTTACGGTTTTGTTTACCTTCTGTTGTAAACAGAGGCATTGTTGGGACAACCATCGCAGGATCATCCCCGCCGCTTCAGGGAGAAACGATCGAAACGTGGAAAAATTAAGTGTCACATTGAAAAACTCGATAAAATCAAAACTATTCTAGCCTATTCTGGAAATTACGCAACAAAATAAATGCCGGTCTCGTGGCCACAGATGTTAGAACGTGGCCGTTGCTGTTGCTACTCCACCGGTCCACGAACTACGTTCTTTGTTGATAAACATCGTCGCGTTTCGAGCTCAACAAATGACAGTTAAGGACAAAGGGCCTTGTATGATTTCAATCGAGATTAATCCTTTTAAAATTAGACTGCATACCCATAACGACAGGAGCGCAAATAAATCGCGATAAACATGTACTAAGTACGCACCTGTGTCATAATTTTCGTTTTCTTCTATTATCTTCTCGACCATGATGTAATTTTGCGGTTGTTGCTGTGCTGGACTCAAAACGAGATGCTCGGGCGGGATGGAATATATGGAAACCGCTACGGGGAACTGGTGTAATGGCCGGTCTGTAAAAATTTTAGGCACAAAGAAAAATTCGTTGGTTTACACACTCATCTTCACTTCTCTTTCCATTGATGTTAAATTCCGACTGAGGCGACGAGCGTCGGCAAACTCGCTAGTCACGTAGCCATCGCCATTAGCGCAAGCGCCCCTACGTTGCCACACGATCGTATGATTCTCGTTTTGTACGAGGGGTTTGCGAAAAATAATAAACGCTGCTTTGTTTATGTAGATGTGGAATATTGATGTTTTTAGTATACCAGTATAATGAGAAAACTTAAAGCATAAATAGGATTCTTCAAATCGGAATCGTCGATAAGAATAAACATATTTTATTTAAGTTCATTGGCAACTGAGATTTAGCCTTGTCAATTCTAAAAGCGGCGTAGCAGGAAGTGGTTACTATTCCATATTCCATCATTTAAAGAAATGTGTGGTTGTTTTGTCGGAATTAAGTGCGGTCCACACGTAACGACTTATCGTAGGATTTACTTGCGTCAACAAAAAGTTGCAGATAAAACGTTCAGACTATGGTTCAGGCCAAGTTGTGTCCAAGTTACAAAGACAGTGTTCTCCTCTGACAAAAACTTGTTCAATTTTTTGTATTCTGTCATAATATCGTGGAGGGAACACTGTGGCAGTTAGTTTTTATTACTCCTTTAAATAAGTTAAAAAAGGCAAGTTAAATATCTTAACTACGTCTTTAGTAAGTAGTACAGAAGCCTCCCTCCGTGGTTCCGCCACTGCTTGTCTGTGCAAAAAATCTATGCCCAGGAGCTTTAATTCAGTCGTCCGAGTTTGTGCAGTTCTAAAATTTTTTTATTACCTGCAACAGTGCAATGTTTTGTCGATGCAAACAAATCGTACGATAAGTCGTCGCGTCTAGACCGCCCTTTAAACGTTGATATACAGGATGTCTCAGAAACAAGTGTAAGAATTTTAACTGATGGTTGTATATTTCAATCCCAGAAACAAGCTTATGAGTTTTCTTTTGCGAAAAGAAATTGTTGAAAATTTTATATTTTTCTTGACATTTTCGAGAAATTTTAAAAAACTTTTTAGTGCCACTGGTTTACTCACCTGAGATGTATCTACGGTGTATCTAAATCTTGCAGTGTTGCCACCTCCTACATTATCCATATTCAACAAATTTGTATTCATTGTAATTTTAAATTTGTACACAAGTGTACTTATTAATTTTAATTTTTAATTTTTAACTCTATGATTTTAATCATATCAGTGGCTATACAGGGTGAATCTTAAATAATAAATATGCTTAAAAAATAAGTCTTAACATTGCCATATTACGATTGTCGATGTGTTTTGTAAATTAGTTGTTCAATGGTCCACATATGATGGAACTTGGTTTGGTTAGGTCGTTTGGTCAAACCGTGCATTGAAGTTAAGTGTCTGTGTATTTTACTTGAGTGTAGTATTGCGATAAAAATTAAAAAAAGAATTGTTACCGTTGTTACCCCGATCTGCCATCAGTATTTTTCTTGTGATGTTGTGGGTAAGTATTTCTATTGCCTTTTTGTGTGGTAATGGCAACACAACTTTAAAAATGTAGGTATCTTTGCAAAGCCGTTCGAATACTGTGGAGCTTTGCGATTTCTTTCTGCATATACCTACTTCTTTTGACCGTCTGGCAACACAGGGCGTCGAATATGCTGAAAGCCGGTTATCGCCAGCGGTCCTCAAAATGTTGCTAATATTTTTTAAAAATTCGAAGTAGGTAACTCAGTTATTTTCAATTTATTTTAAAAATGGCAAAAAAGTTTCTTTTGACCAAATCTACCACACCTTAAAATCCTTGCACTTATTTCTGAGACACCTTGTATATTCAAGTTAATAATTGATAAAAATTCTATCACGTTAAACGGTGTCGTCGCAAAGTAGGCATAGAAATAATATTTCTGTTCGAAATTAACTACGTGTATAATTCAACTGGAAACTTTGGTGTTAAAACAAAAAATTAAAATGAAATTAACACTGTTCTTACCATCTAGATTCTAGAAAGACGCGCATGTTTTGCTAACCATGTTATATGAAAAAATAAAATAAAAAAAAATTAAATGAATAGAAAATTAAAACTGAGCAGTTGGTAATTGATTACTAAAAGTGCAATTTTTAGAGTTAATTATTTTGAATAACCGTCTGGCATAAATATTACTACAATAAACTCTAAATGTTAATAAGCCTAATCTTTTTTATAAATATGGAACTTGGCAAAAAATGTTCTACAAAAAATAACGTCGTAATTTTTAAAATGTAAAAATTTAACATTTACATAGTAGAATAATTTCGTATATGTATATACAAACGTTCGTATTTTGGTAAATTTTAAGGTTTATTGTATCCACAATCCTAAATATATATCCAAAATGTAGCCACCCACAAATACAGATAAAACAGCTGAAGATAGATTTAAGATTTTTATACAGAATAAAATAAAAATCTCTTCCATTTCTATTCAATTTTGTATGAGAATACTTAAACGTCTTAAATAAAATTCCTTATTCTGGAATATTCGAATACAATCTCTACTTTTTGACCTCCCCGGTATCGTATAAAGAGGAAGCCAGATTTCAACCCCTGTTAACTTTTTCAACGATTCTAAACGTTTTGAATGAATTCTTTACAATGGGAACGGGGTTCTATTCATACCAGGTATTCGTTAAAATTACGCATAAAAATATATTGATATGTTAAAGTTTTAAGTTCCCTGATTTTTAGGCATTTTTAATATAAATTATATATATTTTATCGTAGGTATATCACAACTTGGATATTCGGATTAAAGCACTTGTGTCATCGTGTGGTCTAGAACTATAGTTGTCTATAACTTTTATTGACTATAGAGAGGTACTACCTTAAGGTAGTATCCAGATCATATGCACACATAGCTACTTTTGTTGCGCAGCACATTAAAAAACTGCGCAACTTGATCTGCTGCAAGAGTGAATACCTAGGCAACCTGCAACGTTTCGATCGCAGCTTGGTTCGTAGGCTACTTTTTTGTTGCGCGCAGTTTAAGAAATAGAGCCGTGCGTGTGAACAGTTGTTGAGGAAGGTTGCAAGGTGCAGCAAAAGATTACTAATCAGTTGAAACTTTTACTGCGGACATCGGTGTAGTATTCTGTTGGTATGCCCGTTGGCATGAAATGTATATACCTACATAACGTATTGTCAAGAAAAATGGCGTATCCGCCAGAAATTAAAAATGTATTACTGGTTGCCTGCACAACCGCAACGTATCCGCCAGAAATTAAAAGACTTTTTCAGGCGCCATCTTTTAGTCAAGTCGAGAAGTAAGGGAATCAGACAATGGAATTGTCTGGTATGAAGAAAGTACGCTTTCCGAGAATTGGGGAAATTTCGAGAAGCAGTCAATAGAGTATATAAGCCGGAGCCATCGACAACTGAGGGAGTTTTTGAAATTTGAATATACCGCGTGGAAATTGAAAATCGGACAATTTGGTGAAGGAATCTTATAAATAGTTAGTTTGTTGTGTGTTATAAGTTAGTAATTGTGTATAAAGTGAGAAAATAAATTCGTTAAGTATTTTATCGTGAGTTTAAATTAGTGGACCCACGGAATTCGTAACAATTGGTGTCGGAAGTGCGATTTAAGAGGATTTTAAGAAGAAATTAAGTGGATTGGACGATTTTTACACCGAATTTGGGAATTTTTATGGTTGGTACGAGACAGCAAGCGAAGAAAATGGAGGAAGTAAGCAAATTATTGGGCGATTTTATGGAGAATATGAGAAGAGAAAAGGCAGAAGAACAAGAGAGGCTGCGAAAAGAAAAAAGCAGAAGATCAAGAAAGACTCCGTAAAGAACGAGAAGAGCGAGCCGACTAGAAAAAAGAAAGCAGAAGAACAGGACCGCTTACTGAAAATTCTAGAAAATCAAGACAAAATTTTCGAAGATTTGAAAATCCAACGACAACAAGAGAAACAAGAAGAACAGGACCGGCTTGAGAAAATATTGGGTAATTTGGAAATTCGTTTGGAGGAGCGACGTCAGAGAGAAAAGCAAGAAGAACAGGACCGGCTTCAGAAAATCTTAGAAAATCAGGAAATTCGACTTCAGAAAAGCTTCGGAGACATGGAAAAAAAGCAAGAAGCAATGTTGGAAATGCGTTGCCAGGAACAGCAGAATCACTTCCAGAAGCCGTAGAAGATCTGGAGGAACGCCTTCAGCAGAAAATGGAAAAATTAGAGATGGACCTACAGAAGACCAAGGTACAAGTAAGGACACCTGGCGTTCATGGAACTGCGAACCTCAAGGCCCCGACCTACGATGGGCAAACCACCTGGACGATGTACCACCGCCAGTTTGAAGCAGCGGCTGCTGCCAATGGATGGACTGACCAGGAGAAAGCAGCGGCACTTGTCATCGCGCTGCGTGGCCCTGCCCTGGAACTCCTGCAGCTCAACAGCAGGAATACGAAACATTGGTTGCTGCACTGGACAGAAGATATGGCGACCAACATCGACGTCAACTTTACCAGGCCCAAATCAAGACACGCCTGCAGAGGTCCGGAGAGAGTCTGCAGGAATTTGAAGCAGACTTACGTCGGCTGGTACACCTGGCATATCCAGAAGCACCGGAAGGATTTAGGGAGGAACTCGCTGCTCAGTGCTTTATCAGCGGACTGAGGGACAATGAATTACAGAGGGCGCTGCAAATATCGCGATTTTCTACCAGCAGCGAAGTACTCGTCAGGGCGCTGGAAATCGAAGCTGCTTTTAGCGCCATCCCTAGACCGAAGATAAGATCGGTAACGGTTGAGGAACAGCCCGGAAGTTCTCACATACGTTTGGAGGAGATGTTTAGTAAACTATGTGAGTTACTAGTGAACAAGAGTAGCAACAACACCCAGACAGAGGGCTATAGAAGATCACAGGACATAAGGTGCTTTAGATGTGGCAGGAATGGCCACATCAAACAGGATGCCGCGTTCAAATGCGATCCCGTTCACCATCCAGAGA